ACATATATATTTGGAGAGCCAAAAGTTTGCTCACCTACTCTGCCATCTTCCCAGAATTCTCTTCCCTTCTCATTATTTAACAAAATATAAACTCTTTATCTTGGGATTTAAGGTCCTCCACAATCTGGCTCCAACCTACTTGTACAGGTTTGTCTTAAATGAATCTCTTTCATATACCCTACAGTCTAGTCAAACTGGACTGCCCTCTGTTTTTCCAGTCTTCTCCTTACCTCTCCAGTTTCTATGCTATTGATCATGTCTTCCTCCATAACTGGAAGGGATTCCACCACTCCCTCTCCATCTAATGAAGTTTCTTCCTTCCTTCAAGGCCCACCACAGGTTTCTTTTCCTCCACCAAGTCTTCTCCGACTAAACCTTTCATTTGAAGGTGATCTTTCTCCCCAAATTTCGCATAACATTTTGCCTGGATCCTTCCTTTGCCCTTATCTTACTTTCCTTTAAATTAGACTTATTTATATATTTGACCTTCCATCTCTCCCATTAGGTTTCTTTTTTTTTTTAATTTGATTTTCAATGAATAAACATTTGTTTTTTCTTCCTCCTGCTTCTCCTACTCTCTCCTTTTGATTAAAAAACATGTTGTGAGAAATATGCATAGTCATCTAAAAAATTTCTTTGTCCACATCCAAATCGTTATGTTTTATTCTACATTTTGAGTTCATTACCTCTCTTTCCATCCACCTCTCTGGAATTGTACTTGGTCATTATATTGATGAAAGTTCTTAAAATATTTCAAAATGGTTTTTATAGTGTTGTTGTTATTGTAAAAATTGTCATCCTACTTCTGTTCATTTCATTCTGTATTAGGTTCACAAAAATCTTCCCAGGTTTCATGGAAAGCATCCTTTCATTGTTTGTTACAGCACGATAGTATTCTGTTACATTTATATAACGTAATTTGATCAGTTAGTCCATGATTGAAGGACAGCCCCTTAGCTTCTAGTTTTGTCTCATTGTAAAAATAGCTGCTATAAATGTTTTTGTGCCTTGTTGCCTGCATTGTAGTTAAGTTGGAGCACTGCAAATATGGAGGGTGGGGAGCTCGGATGGCTCTGTACCTCACAGAGGTACCAGTTGTACCTTTTCCTCTTTTTTTGATCTCTTTGGGATATAGGCCTAGTAGAAGTATCACTTGTGTTAAAGAGTACATAAAGTTTGGTAATTTGGGGGGCCTAATTTCGCATTGCTTTCTAGAATAGCTATATCAATTCTAAACTCCACCAGTAGGTTATGGGTGTCCCTTTTATCCCCCATTTCTGTAGTCATTGGGAGCATTTTTTCATATGGCTGTTGATGGTTTGGATTTATTCCTTTGAAGACTGCCTGTTCATATTCTTTGACCATCATTCCCCTCCATTAAATTTCAAGCTTCTTGAGAGTGAGGCTATTTCATATTTATCTTTGTATTCCTAGAGGATAGCACAGAACCTTATATATAGAAGTCCTTTAAAAATATTTGTTCCATTGAGGTAAATGAATGATCATTTTTGAAACTTTCTTAATTTTGTAAACAAATTTGTCTCATGAAATGCATATGTTAATATGAACTATATGCTGTCAGAAAGATATTATCAAAGACAAGATCAATAAATAAATTTGGGAATTTACAATTCTGTTCACCTATCTGCTGTCAACCTTTATACTTTATATTCTATCTTGATTAATGCCATCAGTGTTTATAAAAAATTAAAAGTATATATGAATTTCAACAAGTATGTTTTATTTTTAAAGATTTTTATTTTCCTTAGTAGCACCATAGGCTAGCAAAGACTTTCAAGTGCTTGAAACCTTCAGTCAACAAACTTGGTCTCATTTAAAATCATTGATTATCCTTCAGAACAGAAGTATAATCAGAATCCTAGTTCATGAATTATAGTGATTTTTTTTTCAGCTTTGGACACTGATAGTTGACAATAGATGTCTTTGCATAGCATCTAAAAGGCCTATTCTCTAAAACAAAGAGGAAAAAGTATATAGCCAAGGAAATTATCATATAAAAAGGCAATGGGTGAAAATTTTAGTCATATTCACTTTTTTTTTTACTTTCACTGGCTGTTTTCTGACCTATGAGAATTCTGCATTTTAGGATGGAAAATAAGCTTTGTAGCTATATTAACACGATACAGAGAAAAGATGCTCTAACTTTCACAACTCACTAGGTGACTAAAAACTGACAGAAATAAGATCTTCTCATCCTATTATTTTCAACTTTCCCACAGTTATGGAATTTGAGTATGTCTAACCAGAAATGTAGTCACCTTTAAAAAGAAACAGGAAAATTAAGAAAATTGCCTTTTACTTATAAGATTCACCTACCTTTTCCTTAGCTTGATTAGTAGCCTATCTGACAGAAATTGTGTTTCCTTCTGTGTTTTGTAGCATTCTAGGTTTCTTTAAAGATATCACTTCTTAGTATTGATAGTGATATTGGTCTTCAACCTCTACGTGAAGCATGGAATCTATTGACATCAATTAAAGTAATCATCCTGAAGAAGTAACGATACCCCCTAAGGAAGTAAAAGTCATTATGAAGCTTTCAGAGTTGCCTGGGATCTCCCAAAGAAAATAATATGTCTTAGAGAATCTGTCTCCGCAAATAATAATGTGGCAGAACTAACAAAAGCTTGTTATGGCAAAGATCTGAATATCTAGGGTTTTAATTAGGTTTCTGAAATATTCCAGATGCATATAACATTTATCTGATGGATTTTAGGGATGTCAGTCTTAAAGGGGGTGGGGAGGAGAAGGAAAAGAATAATCATTTTTATAGCGCCTACTACGTGCTTGGTACTTTACAAATAGTCGTTTGATTCCACCGACAAACCTGTGATAGTTACAGTTATTATTACCATTTCACACAGCTGAGGAAACTGAGGGCAAGTGTCTTGCCCATTGTCATACAGCTAGTAAGTGTCTGAGGCCAGATTTGAGCTAAGGTCTTCCTGACTTTAAGCTTGGCACTTTATTCACCGTGCCACCCAGATGCCTCAAAGCTGCCACATTACAAAGGGATTGTAGGCAATTGGAGGCAGAAGGAATTCTATTAATTCTTACTAGAGCTTTAGCAGTAAAACCACAATCTATTTATAGACATTAAATGATGTCAGACTTGTGTCTTTCTTCTTAATAACTGAAGAGACAGGCATGACCTAACCTTTACCCAGAAAATACCATTATCTGTTTTTCAGCATTTGTCTGGTCTCCTAATCCTCACCTTTGGTCTAGATTCTTATTTATTCTATGCATTTTTTTAAAAATAGAAACTGCATGGGAATTCTTGCATGTAGTAGTAAAAGCTGATAATGATAGAGAAGAAACACTTTATCCACTCAGGACTTGAATCTACTTGTTTACATATGCTCACTTCAGCTTTTGATTACTATGGTTCAAAGAAAAACTTTCCCCCTTTTTGTTACTTAAAATTATTATATTAACTATGGACGAGGAACATTGTTCTGAGCAGTCTTGGTTTCAGGTAGATATGACAGGGAGAAAAAACATCATGGGACTATTAAGGAGAAATGTTGGGCAAAGTACAAATTGTACTACAATTTTCTTTGATAACTATTGAAGACATGTTATAATTGTAAGAATGGAACTTAAGTGGTTGAATTAGAATTTTATTTTTCCTACTTCCTTTGTAAAATTGGGCCCCTTTATTTATAGAATATTGTTTAAGGTAGATGACTATTATTCCTGTTACTATACTCATGTACAATGCAATAAAAACATTATTCAAAGTTACCATCCAAATTTTAAATCACAATCCTCAATTTGTAACAAATGAATGGGGAAAAAAAATCAATGTTATCTTAACAACAAAATCAACTAGCTGCAATTTGTGAGTGACTTGCTACAATGAAAATGTGATGATTATTTTTTATATAATATTACCTAGATGAGTGACTTATTATCTATATCTATCTGTCAGTTATTTTATAAAGGTTGCATAATTATTATAAAATGTAACTCATTGTTGGTGGAATTGTGAACTAATCCAACCATTTTGGAGAGCAATCTGGAATTATGCCAAAAGAGTTATTAAACTACTTATACGCAGCAATACTATTACTTCATCTATTTCCAAAGATAATTAGGGAAAATGGAAAAGAACCTATATGGGGGCAAAAAACTGGAAATTGTAGGTGTGCCCAACAATTGGGGAATGGCTGAACAAGTTGTGGTTGTGATCGTGATGAAATATTCCTATGCTATAAGAAATGATGAGCTCAATGATCTTAGAAAAACATGGGAAGACTCAAACTAATGAAGAATGAAATGAGCAGAGCCAAGAGAACAGTGTATACAGTAACACTAATGTTGTATTAAGAACAACTTTAAGTGGATAAGTTATTTTGACTATTATAAATATCCAAATTTAACTGTAAAGGACATATGAAGAAAGACACCATCTAGTACAGGTAGGTGGTGCAGTGGATAGAGCACTGGCCCTGGAGTTAAGAGGACCTGGAGAAGTTCAAATCTAGCCTCAGACACTTGACATGTAATAGCTGTGTGACCTTGGCCAAGTCACTTAACCCCAATTGCAAAAAACAAAAAAACAAGCCACTGCCTCCAAAGAAGAACTGATAAATAGAAGTGTGTATAGAATGATTTTATATATATATATATATATATATATATATATATGTAAAATATGTATATATATGTGTGTATATATATGTATATATATATACATATACCTATTTGTGTCTAATGGTAGCTATCTCTAGGGTGGGGAGAGGAGGAAGGAAAAAAAATTTACATGGTAATTTTGTTTGAAAAGAATAACAAGTTGTATGTAGTAGATTTATTGTTTCATTTGCAACCATCTTTTTAATTGTATTATGTTATAGAAATGCTTGTTGTATTCCATAAATTAAAAGTAAAAAAAAAATTTTTTTAAACCATAATGCATAGAACACCAATGTTATCATGATTTTTAAACTAAAGTTTTCCTTTTCCATTTTCTTTCACAGTCTTTTATTCTACTGCAAAAACAGAGACAAGGTAAGGCCACAGATGTACCAACTACTCTGACTGATGCTTTCCAGGAGGAGGCAGGGAAAGAGGATAACTTAATTCAAGCCAGGGCATTTGGAGCAGTCAAGTTAGTGGACCCTGGGAGTTTTATCTTAGAAACTGCCAGAAAGATGAAAGGAATGACCAGTGAGTTTCTGAGACAGATCACAGACTGGTTGAGAGATCATCAGTTAATAAACATTTATAAATTAAGTACTTCCTCTGTGCCAGGAACTGTGCTGTGTGTGTAGGGATACAAAGAAAAGAAAAGACAGCCCCTACCCCCAAAGAGCTCACATTCTAATGAGGAAGACACCTGGTAAATAACTCAGTACCTACAAGTTACATGGAGAGTAGATGGAACATTATCATCTCTGGGAGGAAGGCACTAGCAACGGGGGGACTTGGAAGAGCCTGGAAGGAGGTGATGTTGGAGTTGGGTCTTGGAGGAAGCCAGGCAGACTAAGAGGCACATGTAGGAATGAAGGTGAAGCATTCCAGGCAGTGAGGGCAGCCTGAATGAAGGCACTGAGTTAAGACATAGAGTGTCTGAGGAACGATAAGTAGCTGGATCAGAGAATGTGTGGAGGGAAACAAAAGGTAAGAAGGCTGTAGAGGTAAGAAGGAGCCAGATGGTAGTGAGGGCAGACTAACTACCCACACACCTGCAAGAAGTTTCACTTTAAAGTGAAGCATCCGACAAATGCTTGACTTGATTCAGCAAGGCATTTGACAAAAGTCCCCTTGATATTCTTGTGGGCGAGAGGGACACATGTAGAATGACAGCAAGGTTGGTTGGTTCCATAGCTGGGGGAACAGATAAATCCAGAGAATACCGATTAATGAATTGATGTCAAAACTCAAAGAGAGGTTTTAATGACATGCCACAGAACTCTGTTCAAACCTTGCTCTGCCCAGTGTTTATATCAGTGACTTGGACATATATGGCATGCTGATCCAATTTTTGGTTGATGTAAAACTCAAAGTTATAGTTGGACCTATCAACCCCCCCCCAAAAAAAACCCCAAAACCCAAAGTGTAACAGACTAGAAAAGTGGGCGGAATCTACCAGGATAGAAGTTAGTAGATGCAATTGTAAATTCCTGCACATACATTTTAAAAGTCAGTTGTACATCATTGGAGACAGCTAGGTGGTGCAGTAGATAGAGCACTCAGTTTGGAGTCAGAAGTTCAAATCTGTCCTCAGACACTTACCAGCTTTGTGACCCTGGGCAAGTCACTTAACCCTGTTTGCCTCAATTTCCTTATCTGTAAAATGAGCTAGAGAAGGAAATGGCAAACTACTCCAGTATTTTTGCCAAGAAAAACCCAAATGGAGTCACAAAGAGTTGGACACTATCAAAAAATAGCACAATAATAGAATGTCATTATATGGGAGAAGTATGGTTAGACAATAACGTATAAAAAGTCTATGTTACTCTGTGTAATTATGGGTGATTAATTCAATTTCTCAGTTTCATTGTCTGTAAGAGGAAGGGGCTGGACTTGTTGATTTCTAAGGTCTCTCCCAAGTCTACATTCTAGGGCTGATCTGGTTGAAAGGGAAGGAAGGAAACAAAGATTCATTAATACCTACTATGTGCTAGGTATAGTGCTAAATACTTTACAAATATTGTCTCATTTGATCCTCACAAAAACCTTGTGAGGTAGATGATATTATTATCCTCATTTTACGGTTGAGAAAACTATGGCGGATAGAAGTTAAGTGACTGTCCCAGAGTCACACAGCTAGTAAATAGCTGAGGCCAGATTTGAACTCAGCTCTTCCTGACTCCAGGCTTGGTGCCCTATCCACTGTGCCATCTGGATGACTTCAAGTCATGTGGCTGCCAAAAATTCAATACTTTCTAAATAGTTACTAGGTTTACTTGTTTGCATTGAGTTTAATGTTGTTTTTAATAAAACTTTTTTTTAATAAAACAGAGTTTTTAAGAGATGCAATATTAAGTTGTATTAGTGGAAGTATATTCTAGACAAGAACATGATAACTTCGCTGTACTATATAGCAATCAAGCTACTTCAGGAATGTTACATTCAGTTCTTGGCGCTAAATTATAAAAGGGACATCGACCAGCCAAAAGATGTCCAGAGTGAAGTGTCCAAGATGGTTAGAGACTCACAACTGTTCTATGTTTGAAACTCATTGATACATAGAATCCTAGAACTGGAAGGAACCATAGAAGTCATTTGTAAATTTGATAACTGAAGGAATGAGGGTTGTTTAGCCTAAAGAGAAGAATTAGAAATTACATTATAGTTATCTTTAAATATTTGAGAGTATGTGACATGGAAGAGAAATTAGATCTTGTCTTTGTGACTGCAGAGGGTAGATCTAGGAACAATTGGCTAGGAATTACAAGATGAGTAGATTTTGACCCAATATAAGGGAAGAATTCCTAACAATTAGAGCTGAATGAGCTACTTAGTGAGCAGCTGTTGCCTGGTATCTATCAGGGTTTCCCTATACCTGCCCCCTTCCCTTCTACTGTTACAGGGATCACTTTTCTCTAAAGGATGACAAAGCTCTCTCTGAGACCTGACTGACTCCTTTGTCCCTTGCTGCAGCTTTCTGGCCATCTAAGGGCATAAAAAGTCTCATTCATATGGACTCTTGGCCTCTCAGACTTGGTGGGTACTCTAAGACCATACCCTGCTCATTTCTATAAGGAGATGAGGGAGTCCATGTCTGCCAAAGCTGAAGTTTCATGCTACTGTGTCATTGCTGCTAGCCTTTCTACACTTTTACTTTCCAAATGCAGGTGTTTCCCTCTACTTTATGATCTTCTAAGCTGATTGTTTCTTAATAATTAGAACTGGAATAGGCCACATCACTGAAAGTTTTCAAGTGGAAGATGGACGACCATTTGTTGTAGGGATTTTGTAGATGGGAGTTCTGTTCAGTTATTGGTTGGATGAGATGACTTATAAACTCCTTTCCAACTTGGAGATGTTGTGATTCTGTCTAGATCTGATTTTGTGAGAAACAGCTCACTTTTTCCATTTTCTACCTCTCAAGAGCCTCACTTTGGCCTGTATGTGTTCAGTGTACCAAACATGTTGTGAAAAAAAATGTGAGTACTGAGGGGCTGGTGAGTGAGGAAGAACATTCTGACTGAATGAGAGAATTCCTTTGATTGCCCCACCCCTTTGAACCTGGAAATTGCCCCAAATGCTGCTGCTATATACCATGCAATCATTAGTCTGCAGCAAGGCTAAGGATTTCAGATATTCTCCCAGCTTAGATAAAGAATAAAAGGCTAAGCTTCTTCAAAAGATCAGGGTCATGTATTTGTAATTTCGTAATCTGTGCACAAGAAGAAAAACCTTTCAGTAGGCTGTTCCCCCCCCTGCCCCACCCCCAAGGGATGATGGATAAATTAAAAAAAAATAAAAGTTAAAAAAAAAAGCCTTGTGAGGTAATGCAATTACTAGGAGAAAGCAAGCAAGCGAATGTTCCAGACGATGATCTTTATTATACCCAGCCTGAAGATGTAGCTGGGCTGACAATGCATGATCAGTGAGTGAGGAGAGGAAAGACATTAATTAAGCCTCTGCAAAAAAGCTAAACAGACATTAATGAGATGACTTCAAACAGAAATAACTTAGTTTAAGCATCTTTTGTGATAAATTATGAGACTGTGTAAAACTACAACATTTTATTTCATATATTTTAAAATGATACCCTTTTTACTTCAAAATTAAAAAAAAAATATTCTGATACTTTAAGAAAAGTCACCTAGAGAGGGGGAAACTTTGACTCAAGGGTAAAAAAATGCCAACATAACTGAATTGAATTCAAAAGATTAGTATGGCTTTTTTTGGATAGCTTATCTGGGAATTTGTTTTGCTGGACTATGCATAGTAATTATGAATTTTCTTTTTTTGTTGTTCAATTTGGGGGAACATAGTAGAGGGAAAGATAAGAAATGCTTGTAAAATAAATAATTTGTTTTAAAGAAAAGATTAGTATGTAGCCAACTTTTTTTTTCATAAACTAGTTTCTTACCTGATTCTCCTTGAGGTACTCTCTTTAAAGAGCAATAGGGTCCCAATATACATGAGGCATTGGGATTGGCACAGTGGTATTATGTGCAGGCATATTCAGCCAGGTGGCCTAGATAGAACCGTGGACCTAGAGTCACGAAGACATGAGTTCAAATCCAATCTCAAATACCAATAACCTCAAGCAGCTATGTGATGCTGGGCAAAGAACTTAACCCCTGTCTGCCTCAGTTTCTTCATCTACAAAATGGGCATAATAATAGCACCTACCTCCTGGGATTGTTGTGAAGATAAAACTAGATAATATTTATAAAGCACTTTGCAGACCTTAAAGCTCTGTATAAGTTCTAGTTATTATCACCATCATCTCCCTGCTGCTGTTTTAGTGTGACCTCTGGCAAGTCCTTTGACCTCTTTGGACCTTGGTTCTTCTGTAAAATGAAGAGCTTGAACCAAATGACCGATAAGAATCCTCTCAGCTCTAAATGTGTGATTCTGTCACACTCCAGCGTTTTGCCCGGTCATCCACATTGCCCTGCTCCAGTTCTGGTGAAATTTAACTGTCCTGCAGCCATTCCTTTAATATCCAAGAGGTGGTCTATCTAATGTATGACTAAATCTACCTTATTATGTTCATGAGAAAGGCTAAAAGGTTTATCTCACCAGACAAAAAAAGTGTGCATTTTAACTGGGGCCTTCTGGAGACAATATCCCTGCTTTGGGTTTTAGTGTTTTGTTTTGGGTTTTTTTGGGTGAGGCAATCAAGATTAAGTAACTTGCCTAGGATCACACAGCTAGTGTCAAGTGTCTGAGGCTGGATTTGAACTCAGGTCCTCCTGACTCCAAGGTCAGAACTCTATCCACTGCTCCACCTAGCTGCCCCCCTGCTTTGTTATTAAATCAATTGAATTGATAGCTCTATTAGTACAACTCAGACCCATACTAGCAAGACTATTTCTGAATGGTCAGGGTTTATTGGAGTCTTTTGTTGTCAGGATTAGTGAACTATGAACCATCTAACACAGTTAAGTGTTTATAAGTAGTCTCCATAAACTACTCAGTTTATTTATAGTATTATTTATAGTTCTTTTTGTGGTGGCAAAGAACTGGAAGCTGAGGAGGTAAGTATTAAATAGGGAATGGTTGAACAAATTATGGTATATGAATATAAATGAATACTCTAATGCTATAAGAAATAATGAAATGAATGGTTCAAAGACATCTAGTCAGACATGTATGAACTGATGCAGAGTGAAGCAAACAGTCAGGACAACCGTTTGTATAATAACAACGACAACAACATTGTAAAGACAAATAGCCTTAAAGGACTTAAGAGCTCTGTTCAGTTTAATGCCCAAACATGATTCCAGAGGGCCAAAGATAAAACCGCTACCTATCTCCTGACAAGAGAGGACTCGGAGTGCAGAAGGAGATATATGTTTTTGTACATGGGCAATGAGAGAATTAGCTTTGTTTTCCTGTGTGCATTTTTTACAAAAGTTTTGTTTTTCCTTTTTTTTATTTGGAAGAGGGAATTGGGAGGGAGAAAAAATAGATTTTTGTGAATTGAAAAAAAGAGAATTAATTTTTATATATATATATATATATATATATATATATATATATATACATATACATATATCTATATGCACACTGATCAGTTGTGTTTTTTTTCTTTTAATTTTCCAGGGGCCCACTAAGAGATCTTTCTAGACCTAAAAAAGCCTGGAGGGCACCAGATAGGTAAGGCTATATAGTCTTGTTCATGACATTTGTTTTTACTGCTCATAAAGGACAAATCCTATTTCACTGGCACTTTAACCTCTGTATCACCAATGCACTGTCCATCCACCTCTTTGCTTATCTGACTTTTCTGAACTTACATTGGTACCTTCAGTCTATGAAACTCACGTTCATCCTCTAGGACTATCACCAAGTGCCTCTGTTGGATTTTGCACCTTGGATTTTGGTCTCTGTCTATGCTTCTTGGCTCTGTGTTGTCAGAAGAATGCACTCCTTCGACACGACCACACTTCTGATGTGCCCTTTTCCCTTTGTAAGGCATTAGTAGACATTGGATTTTTTTGAAGATATCTTTTATCTTTGTATAATCTACATTTCCAATATATTCCTTTTCCCTCCTGCTTCCAGATAGCCATCCTTTATAATAAAGAATAAAAAAAGTGGAAAAAAAAATTAGCAAAAGTAACTTAGACCTCAATGAAGTCCAACATTATATGTTGGTATTCCACACCCATTATCTTCTACTTTTGCAAAGAAGAGAGGGAGATACATTCTCATGTCTCCTAATCGAAGCCAAGTTCAGTCATTAACTTTCAAAATGCTCAGGTTGGTTTGTTTTGTCATTGTACTTTGCATATACATTGTTGCAATCATTGTGTGTATTCTCCTACTTCACTTTGCCTCAGTTTATATGTCTTCCCATTCTTCTCTGTATTTATCATAGTCACAGTTTCTTGCAGCACAGTAATATTAATTTAAATTTGTGTACCACAACTTGTTTAGCTATTTCCCAATTGATGGGCATCTACTTTGTTTCCAATTTTTTGCTGCTACAAAAAGGAGCCTGGATTTTAAAATGGCACATTTGAAGATGAGTTGCCTATTCACTAGGTAACTCTCTTTGTAGAGAAGGTAAAAATATTACTTTTATTCTCACATTTAAAATATTTTCCCTTTTGACATATATGGGAGAGGGGTTATTGAGAAAGTAACTGAATATGTGAGGAAATGTGCAGAAACATTATATACTCACCTCTAGAATAGTGAGCCCAGAGCCTACTCACTACATAAATACATGTATATGTAGTACATGTCATATCGAGAGAGAGCTCATTAATTCTTTCTTTTTTTTTCTTGGTGAGGCAATTGGGGTTAAATGACTTGCCCCGGATCACACAGCTAGTAAGTGTCAAGTGTCTGGTCTAAGGCCAGATTTAAACTCAGGTCCTCCTGACTCCAGGCCCAGTACTCTATCCACTACGCCACCTAGCTGCCCCTCATTAATTCTTATGATAATTTTTTGAAGTTGGCAGATAGTATCATTTCCACCTAACAAGCAAAGAAAACTAACTCATGGTGAAGGGGAAAAATGTAATCATGTTGACATAGCAAGAGAGTGACAGATTCATATCATATATGTGGTATACAAGGAGGAAAAATTATGTTAATTATTTATATTTGTGAAAATTTCCATATTTTATTATTTTTTCCTAAGACTAAGACACTAACTAGGACAGTCTTCTTCTTTTGATGAGATGTGCATTTGGGTAGCACCCTGGTGATGCTAACCTATGTGGAATCACCCCATGACCATAGGTCTTACACCTATACTGCCTGCCTCCCCATGGCCATGGCTTTGCCAGTACCAGAAAGTCAAGGAATGTTGGGATTAGGACACAACACATGGGAACTTTATTATCTGTTGTCAATTTGACTAGGAAATCTGGTGGCGAAAGAAGGGTTTCGTTGTTGACAGTGTCTTAGGGTTGACTTCAACCCCTTCAGATAATTGCCTGAATATACTCAACAGTAAAAGAGGATGGGTGACTTTCACGTTTGTATTTTCTCTTTAGAGCAAAAGTATTTGGCTTCTCTTTTACAACATGCCCACTGAGGCTGGTACATGGAGGTGTAAGCTGGTTTTCTAGGATGGCCCACTTGAATCAGGCAAAGTATGGACTCTGAGGATCTGGAGAGGAAGGAACAGAGGGTTTTAAAAATATAGTTTATTGTGCCTTTTGCCTTTATATCATTTCAATTCTTCACTCATTCAGGCTGATGAAAAAAATGTAAAAGCAGTAACATATGAAATAATTATCTGATCTGATAATACATTAAATATTCCATCCTATGAAACCCCTGGCTCTCTGCTATGAATGTGTGTGTGTGTGTGTGTGTGTGTGTGTGTGTGTGTGTGTGTGTGTGTAAGGGTATGTTTCATTCCCTATTTTCCAGTATCTTCATTGGTTTCTCAGTTTCTCAGAGTCCAACTTTACTTTTCAAAAAATTATTTTTATTTATTTCATGAAATACTTCCCTCTAAGGTACCTTCCCGCTCTGACATTCCATGATCTACATTAAATGAATAATGTAGCAAACTCACATCTACAATTTTTTTTAGCCTTGGCCCAAGCATTTGTTGCAACTAAATTGTTCCAATGTATCATGCCATATAAAGCTTACCAATGCAGAAGAGCAAGCATGAGGATATCTGTAAAGGGCGTATGCCCATGTTCAGGGTCAGCATTTTTGCATTGACACTATGAGGAGGTATGGTCAAGTGACTCCTCAGTGTGAAATCTGCAAAAGCAACAACAAAAGCAACAAGTTGGGGTGTTCCAAGCTCAAGTTGCTTCAGCGCACTTCAGCTACTCATGTGCCAACAGCTCCTAGTGCTCTGACTATTTCTGGGCAAGATCTTAATCTCTTTTCCCTTTCTCAACATGACCTAAAGAATTACTCACATAGATTAAATGGAATCTTTACTACTGTGAAAATGAAGGTAAACAAAGTTCAAACTTTAAAACTCCAATATGTTTACCTATATTCCTGATAAGATCTGAAATCTCGACCTTCCCTTCATCCCCAATTTTCTGAACCAGCAACAGGTGCCCCCAAAGACATTTTAAAGGAAGTGCTTCAAGTTCCTCCCCACCCTTCCCATCAAAATCTCAACAGAAGTCATCCCAGCATAAATAGCTCTAATTTCTGACCAGTGGACTAGTCAAAGTGCCCCACTTCCATGGTAACTGCTTTCGACTCCTAGCTACTAGCTAGGTGATTTTGACATCAAACACTCAGCCTGCTGCCCTGTGGAGGAATCAACAAACATTTATTAAGTGCCAACAACATGCCAGGCACTGTGCTAAGTGCTAATGATACCAAAAGAGGCCAAAAACAAAAAACAACAAACTGGTCCCTACTGTTATGGCACTTACAATCTAACTGGGGACACAACATGCAAACAAATATATACAAAGGAAGCTATATACAGGATAAATAGGAAATGATGAACACAGGAAAGGCACTAGAATTAAGAGAGGATGAGAAAAGCTTACAGTAAAAGAAGGGATTTTAGGAGAAACTTAAGGAAGCCAGGGAGGTCAGTAGGTTCTGCAGAGGAGAGAGAGTGTTCCAGGCATAAGAGACAACCAGAGAAAATCTCCAGAGCTGAGGGATGGGGTGTCTTGTTCATGGAAGTCAGTAGGCCAAGGTCACTGAATTGAAGAGTTTATAGAGGGGCGTAAGGTTTAAGAAGATTAGAAAAGAAGGAAGGAGCTAGGTTAGGAATGCCTTTGAATGGCAAACACAGCATTTAGCATTTTATCCTAGAGGTGATAAGGAACCAATGGAGTTTATTGAGTAGAGGAGTTCATGGTCAGACCTTCATTTTAGGAAAATCACTTTGGTGGCTGAATGGAGGATGGATTGGAGTGGGGAGGGACTTGAGGCCAGCCAACCCCCCAGTGGGCTATTATAATCATCCAGGTGTGAGGTGATGAGGGTGTGTAATAGAGTGGTGGCAATGTCAGAGGAGAGAAGGAGGCATATAGAAAAAATGTTGCAGAAGTGAAATTGTCAGGCCTTGGCAACAGCTTGGATGTGGGGGGTGAGAGATGGGGAGGAGTTGAGGACTTCTAGGTTGTGAGCCTGAGAGACTGGGGAGGATACCGTTGTCCTCTACGGTAATAGGGATGATAGGAGGGTGGTGGTGGTGGTGGGGAGCAATAGTGAGTTCTGTTTTGGACGTGTTTAATTTAAGATGTCTATTGGACATCCAGTTTGTGATTGCTGAAAGGCAGTTGGAAATGTGAGATTGGAGATCAGCAGAGAGGTTAGGACAGCATAGGTACAACGGAGAAAAATCAGCATAAAGATGATAATCAAATCCATAGGATCTGATGAGATCACCAAGTGAAGTAGTATAGAGGAAGAAGAGAAGAGGGTCCAGGTTAGAATCCTGAGGGACAACTATGGTTAGATAGTGTGATCTGTATGAGAAGCCAGCAAGGGAGACTAAGAAGGAGAAGATCGGTATGAGGAAAACCAGGAGAGAGTAGTGTCCCAAAAACCTAAAGAGTAGGGAGTATCAAGGAGGAGAGAGTGGCCAGCAGTATCAAAAGCTTCAGAGAGGTTGAGAAGGAAGAGGATTGAGAAAAGGCTAGTGGATTTAGCAACTAAGAGTTCATTGGTAACTTTGGAAAGAACAGTCTCAGTGAAATGATAAGACCAGAAGCCAGGTTGTAAGGGGTTAAGAACAGAATGAGGAAAGAGAAAGTGGAGGCATCTATTGTTGAAGGCTTTTTTGAGGGTTTGGCTACATCTAAAGCTGAAGTTACAGGATGATAGTTGTCAATGATGGAAAGATCAAGTGAGAGTTTTTCAGAATGGGGAAGATGTGAGTATGTTTGTAGGCAGTGGGACAGGATCCAGTAAAAAGGGAAAGTTTGAAAATAAGTGATAGAGTAAGTTTTAGAGAGGGCATTAGAGGAGATGGGATGGCATGGAATCACTTGAGCAGGTAATGTTCTTCTCCACATATCTCCCTAGGGTGTCACAGCCATTTCCAGGAATCCCAATCAGTAAAAGTGAGTGCCAAAGGGCACCTGCTGCTCTATGCAATCTTTCCTTAGATCTCTTTGATGTCTCTTGCATAAAGCATGGTCATCCCATTTTTAAGTGCCTCACTCACAACCTCAAACAGCTCTCTTTATGTTACA